GGATATCGGAGAAAAATAAAAAATGTAATCCGATCCATTAAATATCACGAAAGCATCTCACAAAACTTGCAACACGCCGTAACTCGCCTCAGAACGTTAGCACGTCGGAGCAGTATGCATCACGTGATAGAGCGGCTGTGGCATGCGGGACCTGGCGGTGGTCTGAATAGCATGTGGAGCTTCGCTAGCAACCCGGCATTTCATCTCCGACAAAGTTATCCCGAGAGAAGTAAAGCAAGTGTGTAAGTCCATCTCTGAATGTTTGTAAAGCATTCCTGCGTTAAGCTTAACAACCGATATATGGAGCGACTGCCTCTCCTGCTGCTACTTCAATCATGAAACTGCTTAATGATCAGCTGATCGGCTTTTCTGTTGCGAGTCCGTGTCTCTTGTTTGCTTTTGGCCCACTTTGCACCAGAAAGAGGAAACCAGCGGCTGAACAACAGCAGCACGTTTAAGCTTGATCAGCTGTTGCTAGAATGTATTTAATATTACTTTCTACTGGAGGATCTTTTTCTACGTAGCTGACGATGGTAACTGTGCAGGGGCGGATCTAGCAAAGTTTAGCCAGGGGGGCCGATAGGGCATTAACAGGGAAAAGGGGGCACAAAGACATACTTTTCTTTCTTATTCTCATTTAAAATGTCTAGCTTTTAATAAATAATTATTTGACACCCAAAGTTTTAATTTGATGTAAAATGAATAGAAGTCAATTACTGTATATAGTGACTATTAAGTCTAATATATATACCCTAGTAAGCTATAGTACTTTTTCCTTTGGGAAGGTACCATCTGTGCAGTCTGCAATTTTGTTGAAGAAAGATGTTGAATCTATTTAATATTTCTTGAAAAATAATTGATTTCAGTGCATTTTTTTTTCACACTGCATCAAATTAAGGTTGATTACGTCGATTAAGCATCATGAGGTGGAGCGTGAGGGGTGGTTCCCTATTTTTTATTTTTTTATTTTTGTTGTTGCTGGGAGTTGGAACCCTATTAGTTAGGTTGCTTAATATTTACGCTAAGTACTCTTTAAAATACCAGAATAGGGAGGATGGTGTAGGTTTAAGTTTATTAGATTGATCAGTATTGCTGAAGTATGAAATTTTTTTTTTGCATACAGGTATAACAGAATAGCTTTAGTGTAGTTGTTGTTTTAAACTTGAGTATGAACTTATACAAAATGCAGCAAGATATTTAAAAAACAGTTTTGTTGATTAAAAAACACTATATCGGATTCATATCGGTATCGGCAAATATCCAAATTTATGATATCGGTATCGGACATAAAAAAGTGGTATCGTGCCATCTCTAATTTGTGGTAGTACAACCTCCAGCCTCATTGTTAATACTTTGGATAGAATTTTGTAATCCACATTGATTACATTTATCAGTCTGTAATTGCCTGGATCCATTAAATCTTTGTCGCCTTTGGAATTACTGATATTACGGTCAGGGAGCCGTCCATATTCAAAGGCTTCATGTAATACTTAATTAAAAATGGACGTAGCAAATCTCTAAATTTGTGATAAAACTCTGCTGGGAGGCCATCTGTTCCTGGTGACTTTCCAGCTTTCATTGCACAGATCCTTCCTTTACTTTGCCTCTGTTAGGGGAGTTTGCAATTTGTCAGAATTGGAATATTCTTAAATGCCTAAGTCAGCCACCTGATCTTATCCCAGTTGAGCATACATTTCACTTGTTGAAGACAAACTTTGAACAGAAAGGCCCACAAACAAACAGCAACTGAAAGCCGCTGCAGTAAAGGCCTGACAGGGCATTAAAAAGGAGGAACCCCAGCATCTGGTGATGTCCATGAGTTCAAGAACTAGGCTGTCATTGTAAGTAAAGGGTTTTTTAATCAAGTATTAGAAATTGACATTTTATTTTGAGTTATTTAATTTTTGTCAGTTACTTTGAATCCCCTGAAATTAAGGAATTGTGTTAAAAATGCTTTAGCTCCTCACATTTTTATGCAATCTTTTGCAATCTTTCAGGCACTTTAATTTTAAAACTGTGTAATTTTAAAACTGTGTATATACTGTATATTTTGTGTATTTATTATGTCACTCTTATTGCCTGTTTATGCCCTGTCCTTATCTTCAACGTCATGCTGCTCTGTTGTATCTTAATTGCCCCCTGGGGATAAATAGTCTTTCTGATTTTCCATTCAACCCACTGAATTAAAGCTGAAAATCTGCACTTTAATTGCATCTGAGTTGTTTCATTAACAACTCAGCTTTTTTCTCAGTCTTGCACTTTGGGTCCTCACTCTGCTTGCCACACATAGTTTATTATGACAGAACATTGCAAACAGTAACCTGGACCCAGCCGACTTGGTGAGGGCTCAACAGTGAGTGAATGGTTCTTTTCTAAAAGAAAAGAAGAGGTGGGAGGCTTTAAGCGCCCCAGATAAATAATTCCTATATTATGGGATTTGCTTGTGTATTTGAGGACGTTGAAGATGCCAAACGCCTGCAGCAGCGTAGGTTCCCCTTCCCCATCATCTGGTAATGAGAGTGGGCAGTCTCTTCTTCACACCAGCTGCTCACTTGCCGGTCTTATCATGTCTGCTCTCCTCTACTACTGCCAACTGTATCCTGCTCTAAGCAAAAGGTTCTCTCAGCGGGAGAAGACTGGGTGTAAGGCTAAGTTCTGCGGCTTCACCCTGGTACAGTCTATCCTCTTGGTCCTGGGAATTCCAGAGTCTGCGCTAGACAGCCCCGCCGGCTCGATGATTTCCAGCACTCCTGCCTCAGCCACGGTAGACTGCTCGTTGGATTGTCTGCTCCCCTGCTCATCAAAGGTTCCTATCCAGTGTTTGTCAAAGAGTCACTGCTTCAGCACTCCAGTCCCCCTTTTCCCAAAGGAAGCAACAATAAACTTTCTTGTTGTGTTCCAGACTCAGCAGATAATTAAATTTCCTGTTTTGTTTTAGAGTTGTTAAAAACGAATCCTTTTTGTTATGTTTCTGAGACAAGAACTGTGTTTTCTGTTCCTGAGTCGGCATTCCCTGGCTTGGCCTGTATATTTCTGACAGTTCAATCAAGAACTCTGTACCATGCTTCTGAGCTTGACAATTTAAGAGTTCTTTGTTTCTCGCAGTCTGTACGTTTTAAAAACTGTTACATCACCCCCTGAGACTCAGTGTTGTTTGTGTTTGTGTCTCCAAAGAGTGTTGCATCACCTGTTGCCAACCCAGAGTCTACTCACCCACCTGCTCCAGTTAAGGGTTTTCAGGGAGTAATGTTAAATGTTGAGTTTACATGACATATCATCCAGTCTGTGATTAAAGTGCTGGTTGGGTTGTCTTACATTTTGAGAAAAGCCAGTTGATTGTAATCATAGATTTAAAAAAAAGAAAAGACAGAAAGAAAAGCTTTGTTGAGGCTGTAATTATATGGTAATTATAATTATTTCACCTGAAGGGCCAGGTGTAAGGGCCAGGTGGATGATAACAACAAAACTTGCTTTTGAGTTTTCCAACTAGGGCGGACCAGTCTAAGAGTGAGGCTTTCAAAAAAAATGAAACTCAGTGTCTATGGTTGATTAATAAACAAGAGTAGAAGCTACTCCTGCTCAGCTTGTTTTTTATTAAGAAATAAAGAGTAAGTATGATTTGGGGTTTTTGATTTATTAAAACATAGTCACCCTGTTGTAACCAAGTTTCTGTAAGGCAAAATAAATCACTACACTACTTACTAGCAGGGACTGAGAAGAGAGAGGCCTAATAGCATATATTTTCATTGCTATACAGATGATACCCAGCTCTACTGACATATACATACATATATATCAATGAAGCCAGATTGCACACCAACTAGCTAAACTGCAGGTGTCTTAAAGACATAAAGACCTGGATGACTAAACTCTCTGAAAAGCCTTCAGTTGATCCAAAATGCTGCAGCAAGAGTACTGACAGGAACTAGAAAAGAGAGCATATTTCTATATTTATTGCCCTCTCCTTTCTGTTTAATCTGTAATCAAATTTATAATCCTGTTCCTCACATACAAGGTGTTGAATAATCATTCCCTATCTTAATGACCCTATTGTACCCTATCACCCCAGACAAGCTCTTCATTCTCAGACTGCTTCTTTACTTGTGGTTCATAGAGCATTTAAAAGTAGAATGGGAGGCACAGCCTTCTTCAGCTTTCAGGCCCCTCTTCTGTAGAACCAGCTCTCAGTTTGGATTCAGGACACCGACGCCGTCTCTGCTGTTAAGATTACACTTAAACTTTGATAAAGTGTATGGTTAAGGCTGGATGAGGTGACGCTGAATCCCCCCATAATTACACTGCCATAGGTGTTGGCTTCTAGGGGATTCCTATGATGCATTGAGTGTTTCTCACATTTCTCAATCACTAGGTGTTCATACACCTCTCTGCATTTGATTATTAGTTAGTAAACAATGAATAAATATTACCTACTCTGTTATTAGTAATTATGCCACAAACATCAAAGACAAATTCTTACATGTTTGAAACAGAATCATGTAAGGATTTGTTTTAGAATAATCTCCAGTTGGACCTAACAACATAAAAAAACTAAAGACCATGAGTTATTGATATTTTTTTACCTGTCCCAGTTTCTCCAGTAATGTACTGCATTCATTTTTTGATCATTTATCAAACATAAAAGTTAATTTCTAAATTTCTCACCCTTTTATTCTACTTTAAAACAAAAATAGTGGTTTATATTTTAAAACACTCACCAAAAAACCAGATCTCATGGAAATTCATATTAATGTGGTTTTATATATTTTTTCTCATTAATGCAGTTGTACTGTGTATTTTTCCAGCACATGTATTTGTTTCTGTTTTGTGTGCAGTCAGTCAGGTTGAGTCATTTTATTACTTAATTTACAGTCCCTATTCCCGTAGCAACATTTCTACGCAGTTTGTTATGCTTGGAGAGTTAAGTGGCTTCACAATAAAAAGACAATCCTCTGAAAATGGTTGGGTACAAGGCCTGGATTGAAAATGAGTGAAAAAGCAACCAGTGTCCAAAGAAATCTTTAAAAGACGTTGAGAAATCCTCAAGAGCTCTAAGTGGCTCCTTGGAAGCAAAATATAAACAAATCAGGGTGGATTAAGACAGTAATAAATAGAAAACACTGGTTATTGTAAGTACTGTTACTTTCCCAGCATCCCCTTAATCTGAAGCATGTTATGACCCACCCATATCACATAAAATGAATTGCTGTGATGTGTTATAAAAACTTTTTAAGACACAAAACTAGATTATTTAAAGAACATTTGAAACACATTTACTCTTCCCGGCTCATCTCTCTGCAGGACCTTTCAGAAGACCACGTGTATTACAACCCAGCCTCTAATACAGAAAATTCACACTGTGTTTTATATAAGTCGTTTCTGCCAGTCAGGAGAAGACAAACTAAAGGATTCTGATTATGCTACTTTGACCTCAGACCTTTTGCTAAATTGATGTAAACAGTGTCCACTTGAACCACATATTCAGTTTATGTTCAAACAATCACATCAATATGAGTTGTTTTTTTTTAAAAAGTTACATTATTCAAAACATATGTACTTTTATCCAGCATCAGCCCATCAAAATGATGCCTCCTCTTCCAGAGATGTACAGATTAATAAACACTGAGACAAACTCAGCAACTGGATATTTACAATGTTCCAATATGTGAGACCTTTGCCTTTAAATAAATTACATGTTCAGAGCAACATCCATGCAAGCTTGAGGGCTAGCAATGAATTGGGAGTCCTGAATGATCAGGAGAGTGGCGACAACAGCCAAGTTTGGCACTACATGGAATCCATCCCACGTGAGAACGAGGAGGAAAAGCCGAGGCCCATTCCTCTCTGAGTGTGCGTCTGAGAGCGAGCCATCTCATACTGAACATCGAGGTTCCTAAACATCTCCTCCTGCTTCTGAAGTGTCTTCATCCCATCATCGTTCAGTGGTTTGGCAGCTTCCACATCATCATCACCCTGCAGAGGCAAAACATTTGGTTTAAATTTGACAAGTTGTAGCTTAACAAAAAAAAAAAGTTGCAAGTTGTGGATTTGGTACAAAAAGCTGATAAAAATAACAGCTCTACTTACTTTAATACCCATCAGTTTGCGAAATTTAACATTTTGGTCCTTGTTTCCAAAGTTAAGCTTCTCCCACAACTCGGCTGTTTGGGACTTCTCCTTAGAAAAGAAAAGAAAAAAAAACCTCAAAACAAAGTCAAAAGAAAACATGATAAATATGGCATCTTTTCAAAAGTTAAAGAAGAAGAAAATAAATAAATAAACCAGCTCTTACCCCATCCTTCTTTCCCTGCCATAGCATTTTCCTCTTCTTCTCCTGCTCTGCAAACTTCATGGGGTTTACAGCGGATGGGTTATAGTAGCTGGGAACAGCAATACCAGTCTCTGCCAGCGTCTTTGCTTGTAGGGCTGCCATCTGTGCTGCCATGGCGATCTGAGGTGTGACCTGCGTCCCAGAGGCCAGGAGAGCCGCGACGTTGAGGGCGGGGTTTGAGACAGCTGCTGCAGCAGCTGCTGCTGGCAGGAAAAGAACCAAAACAAAAAGAAAAGAAAAAAAAAACAAAACAAAAAAAATAAAACACAGACCATCCTGATGAACTGAATCTTGACTCGTATGTATAGTTGTAGGGTCTACCTTACAATATAAATCGCCTTGAGGCGACTGTTGTTGTGATTTGGCACTATATAAATAAAATTGAATAAAATTGATTCAGGCGCTAAAGTTTCTACTTTGTGCACAGTTAGCACTTCTCACCTGCAGCGATCTCCTGTTGTTGCTGCTGCTGTTTCTCAAACATTTCCTTCTCCTTCTGCTCCTGCAGTTTCTTTGCTCTCTCCAGCCTGGAAAAAAGAGTGGAGACCATTTTGGGTTAAATGAACAAAAGATCTTGACCTACACGTAAACCATAATGGTAAAAAGACACCAGGATACTTTTCCAACTTAGAGCCATACTGTAGACCACTAGGGGGAGTGTTGACGCTACCAAAAAGGCCAGTGTGTTTAACCAGTGGTTCCATTTGACTAACAAATAATAGATTCCCAGTTTAATCTCAGGCGGAGACACAATTCGCTTTAGGGTTGCATCAGGAACTTAAGGAGCTGGTCTCACTTAATGAATTCAATCCTATTTACAGATTTTTTAAATTTTATTTAATTTAATAACTGTACAGTACACTCTTTATAGTAACCATTGTCCTTTATGTAAATATGTAAGAAAAATTGTGTATGTTTCTGTTCTATGTCCTGTTTGTTGTATATGTGTCTTTCTGGCTGCTGTTACAACCAAATTTCCCATTGTGGGACAATTAAAGGATTATTCTATTCTATTCTATTCTAGATAATGTAACTACCTTTGAGTTTCTGCATATCAAACTCCATCATGACCCAGCAAGATTTAAACTCCATTTAATGTCTTCCTGCACATCTGATAGTGATCTGATGAAGCTAAAGCTTCTCTAAGCTCACTTTCTGCTACCAAAGTTAGCGCCTTTTGTTGGAACCATGAATGCTGAAACCAGCCATCATCATTTTAGACTTTTATGAACAACATTAGTAAAAAGTGCAACATGAATGAGAAGCTTGACTGTAACCACAAACTGCGATATTAAACTTGCACCTGAGATTCAGTAACAAAAGCCTTACTTATTGGGCTGCGCTTTAAATCTATTTTTTTTTTATCACAGGTTTAAAGCCAAACATCAAAGGTCTACATTTCCCGTCAGCCGTTTTCTTACCTTCTTGCTAGGGCCTCTTGAGCATCCATGGCTGTGTTTCGGCCTCGGAAGGCGGGTGGACTAGGAGTCCTGCTTCGGCTCTTCCTGCGCACCTTTTCAGTCCTTTTCTTATGCTCCCTGGAGATAGAAAACAAACCAAAAACCAAGTCAGCCAACTAACATACTCTTAACCCTTTAAGACTTAGCAAAGAACCAAGTCTGCCAGAGCTTATCTTTATATTTTTACATGCTGGAGAATTTCAAGTTGCTATACATCAATACAACCATTATAGCCCAAATCTTAATAATATGTATGCAATAAGTGCATATTAACTGCATAAATTGCAAAAAAAGTGCAATAAACTACAAATTTTTTTTAATTTATATATATTTTTTTAAAATAAACATTTCTAGTTAGAGAAATTTAAGAGGTTTATCCCTCAAAACTATAAATACAAAAAGTTGCACTAAATAGTTTCCCACCACAGGAAATTTATTTTGAGTATCTTCATAGTTTTATTTTTGAAATACACCAATTTTTACATACTGCAGGAAAAACGTAAATATATATTATAATGCAAATTTGCAAAAAAAAACAAAAACAAAACTATTTCCAGCAGTGCAATTTGAGTTCTAAGCATCCCGGAAACTATACAGAAAAGCATAAAGTTAAACATGACTTTTAAAAACACCAGTTTTATGCAAAGCTATATGTGGATGGAAACTGTGACCTAGAGCAAGCTGATGGCATAAGATGTAAGTACAACTCCTCCGTTTCATATGCAAAAAAAAAAATTATTGCGCTAGCAGTTCTACAGGGATTTAAAAATAGTTACGCAAGGGTTAATGACATGTAAAATCTAAGACAAAAGTTCAAAAGCACTTCATTGGCATAAGAAACGGCGCGATTTCAGCTGAGCCCACCTGCTCTTACTGCGACTTCTGCTATGGTGACGATGTTTGGTCCTTGAACCCGAGCGAGACCTGGCCTTCTTCTTCTTGTCTCGGCTGCGTGATCTTGATCGCCGCTTGTCCCTACTTCTGCTGTGATGCCGTCTGAAAGCAACATTAATGACATGAAACAAATGCAGGCATTTCTGTATTTCTTGGCACATTTTTCTTCTCAAAGTTTGATAAATGACTCCGGTCATCCAGAAGCTACAGCTAGCAATTCTAATCAATTTGCATTTTTCTTTGTCATAAGTATGGAGACCTGCTGCCGTCTTACTTTACTGAGCAGACTGACCTCTCTCTGGAGTGTGACCTGGACAGGCTCCGGCCCTTTGAAGACTTCCTGTCCTTGCGCCTGGAACGTTCCTCTCCGTTCTCTGCCGAAAGTCTCTCTTGGTCTTGCGGCTCATCTGTTTTTCTGTGTGATTTTGATGGCTTCTCAGAGTCCCTCTTTCGTGCCTGTTTTAAGAAGAAGTTGTCTCTTTCAGGAAAATAGTGCAACAAAAAGAGTTAGTACCATGGCTTAGACCATAAGGTATGTAATAAAATTGACAAGCTGAATAAAACCTTGTCATTTCAAACCCACTTCCATAAAAATTACAGAATGTCATTCTAAGAGAACTTAGAGAAGTGTAAGTGTGGGCAAACAGGGACCAGCAAGTTGTCATTTTATTCAATAAGCTAGGAGGAGGAAACACTTTAAGGAGATTTCCCCCCCCCCCCAATTTGATGACAAAAACTGAGCGCAAACCAAATTAGTTTGTGCCCGCTGAAAGGCTGATGTAGGTTCGGGCATCCAACTTACTCCTTACACCCACACATTTGATCGTGTTTGGATTCAATTTCAGTTTAATTAGATTAATTATGCCCATCCCCAGCTGCAAGAGATGCAACAGTTAATCCAACTTTCTACTCATAATGTGTGACAAAGAGGAGTTTGAATGGCAGATAGTTACCTGTCCCAGTAGTAGGCATATTATTTTGCTATGTCAGCAGGGTCTTCTGTTCAGTCTCTTCGTGCATTAGCACGCTGAGTATGATTTATTGTAGAAATGTTATCATGTGATCTCCACACAGGATTTAACAAAAAATAAAAAGGAGAAAAACTAGTCTTCACCATTTACGATGGTTACAAACAATGACAGATCACCAAGGACAAAAGCTTCCTTTGAGAAATCAGAGCACAACGAGGGTAAAAAAGAAAGCAAAAGAAAAAAAAAAAAGACCCTTTCCACGTGAGCAAGCCCATCGCCATTTATTTCACTTCTTAATTTTGGCTATTATAATTTGTTTAACCTAAGAAAACATACTCACCTTGTCTTACAACTAACAAGGAATATAACTTAGGGTCCTTAAAATCACATCAAATGCGTTTCTAACTATAGAAACAAAGATATTAATTACCTCTTTGCTCCTGCTGCGACTGCGTCTGTACTTTCTGTCACCTGTAAAAGCAGAGCATATTTCAGATTAAATTTGTTAGTCTGACAAGATGATCAAGCCAGATGAAGCCAGTGTGTAAAGTAGACCAGATTTCACATGTGTGATTAACTCTTAGCAAATTTGGTAATGTTGAGACGAAATTGCCCACCACTACTAGGGATCATCAGAAACTTTAGTTTATTGTTTTTGTTTTGTGCTTCCAACCTTTTTTGTCTAGGTTACCTCTAAACTGGGAATGTAACAAAATTTTGTATTAGAGCTTGAACATATGTGACATTTTTTTGTGCCATTTGTGAACTGAATACTAACGTTTTCGGTCCCTGGAGCGTGACCTTGACCGTGAATGGTGGTGTTTGGAGCTTCTGGGGGACTTTGATGACTCCATATGTCTTTTTCTGTGATGAACTGGGGAGCCAGATCTGGTCAAGTCAACAGAGTCGTTGTCACTCACCTGAAACAAACATGCAAAATCACAACAGGAACTAATTAGTGAAGTTCTTTGGAGTTAAGTAAATTTTATACATCTAAAGAACTGTTATCTACTATAACTCATGGCCTATGAGTAAAACTGATCAGGGGTTTGTTGAGTAGTAAAATGCATATGGTTTTGGCTTTTCACTAAAGTAAAAAACAAAACAGTAGAACTGTAATACAATAAAAGCACTTGATTACATAGGTAACTACCCTCAAAAGCCTATTTGGTGCCATTAAAAACCCCTTAAAGTACAGCCCGGATTTTCTGTGATACTCAAAACATGCACAGGATGATCTGGACAGACAAATAGAGCTTCTGTCTAATGTATTAACGACAATAAATACATTAGACATTGGTTACGCATGTAAGCAACACCAGTGTGCATAAAGTTGCCTTAATTAACAAAGATTTCCCTGTTATTCTGAAGGTTTTCGATAATCAAAATATGTATGTCGCAGGCATTAATGCAGTTGAAGTAAGGAGGAAATGTAAGGCTGTGTAGTCCACAGGCACAACGTTATTTTTATTTTATGCTTTTTATTTTAAGTATTGCTCAGCATTTATTAACATACTGTAGTACCTATTTAACATCCTTCAATACTAATGCCTTTTATTGTGTGGCTCACGTAGACTAAAACACAGCCGTTTTCAAAGTGCAGTCATTTCAGCAGATGAGACATACCATGGGTCACTGCAGTGTTAATTCATAGTTAGCCATATCAGTCATTTGTGCTACTGTGTTGCTATTGTATTGGATTGGATTAAACGTGTGGATTCTAGTGATCGCATTAAATGAATAGCTCGAAACCCATCACATAATCTACGGCAGCCAAATCACTCCGTTTTCGTTCTGTATGCCTTCACCGCAGTGATATTTGGAGTAATTTTATCGTTAGCTCGACCGCTAAGCTAACACACGCTAGGCGCCATTTTTAAGAGAAAAATATCATGAATACAACCGAAAACTTCCACTAAAATTACGAAGTGGCTATCAAACCCATGTACGTACGACATTAAAATAACACGACAATACTTACCGACATTATATTGAAGTATAATATTTGTGCCTAAATTCGATTTTCTTGCTGCCTTTGTGAACGAAGACGAAAAGGTAGAGAGGTAGCTTACTGCTGAGGCCCTTTGACTAGCTCAGCTTATCTGATCTGGGTTGCCAGTTGTAGCCTCTTGACTCCCTGATTCAGGTAAATGCCAAATTTAAGAAACGAAATACTACTACTACTACTACTACTAATACTAATAATAATAATAATATACTTTGACTGCAATACAAAAACAAATAGTATAATACTGTAAGACATAATTACTTTTATATAGTCATTGGTTATACACCCAGTAAACATTTATTACAAAAACATATAGTCGTAATCTTATAATCATTTGTCTCTTATTCTTTTTTAACTTGTTGCATTTATTTATTTTGTTGTTATGATCTTTAAAAAATACACGTTTTTTGTAAAAATGTAAACATGGCCATATGAGTCCTAAAGTTTAAGCATTGCGTCAAATGCGGCCATAAATCACCAAACCTGGCAACACAAAAGACTCGCCGGATATTCCTGCAATGCCCCCGCCTCTATATTTGTTTGATTTTATCCTCGATTTAGCCTTTCAGGCGTCTCTTAATCTCAGGTCAAATTATCTTAAACATTTAAATGAGCCATATTGGATCATAGACACATTGCATTGAACATTTTATAATAGATTACCGAGTGTCGCGTGGGATGCTACTCCTAAACTAACAGAAAGCTCTGGATTTTTACCTTTTACTGTAATGATATTGCATCTGACAGGCAAAACTCTGGGAACAATCACCACAAACAACTCAATCATAACAACCTGCATCAACCCGCCAAATTCTAAAGCTAAACACGGTGGCGTTATGTCGGCTCTCTCTGCTATAACTGTTTAAGTATTACAGTAAACTGGTGAGTTCCTGTCGGTTATATCTCCTTAATAAAAAAGTCATTCCATTATTTGCCTTATATTTTATTGTTATTTGTAAATCTCTGCTAAATAGCTAGCATTGGTACTATAACCCGATTAATGACAGCTAGCTGCTAGGCAAGTTAAGATATCCTCTCCTATATCAGCTCCTGAATATGGCGCTGTGGAGCGAAGTCGAACTTCTGACCAACGAAGATACAAATACAGTCCGTTTCGATGGTGTGTCCCGGGAGGAAAACAGCAGTGGCCTGTATCAGGTGGACACGTTGGTCAAAGTCTCCAGTGCTAATGAGGTGACTGATGTAAATATTTACCACACACTCATGCCAAGGGGTTTGTGGCAAAGACTCCTGGGCCTGTATTAGTGTTTTAAGCATGGTTTAGTAAACCTGGGTTTTTACAGGTGCAGGCAGATCCGAATCTCACGTCCTCGAGCGGCTCAAACTGGAGTTTTATTGTTGCTGACAGGACAGTCATCCTGTTTGATCAAAGCTATCAGAGCATCCTCCTGCTCCTTAACTTTGGTAAGCATCATTTGTGTGGCTGCATAAAAAGTCAGCCATAAAAATCTCTTTGAAAATCGTTTTGAGGCATCTGTAAAGTATAAATAAATATACATTAAAAAAAAAGTATAAATAAACAAAGGTTTTCTTTTCCAGAAACTGATGTGGATGCCATTGACGTGTGCCTGAAGGGAAAGTTTCTGGTAGTTTGTGAAAGAAATGGAAACCTTCATTTGATCTACGTTCCGCAAAAGAGGATCCTCCTAACCCGGGTGTGTGTGGTTGTTTTCATCTTTAAGGCCTTAACTCTTATCCTATCTAATCTTATCTAGTCTTATGCATGTCTGAATAATAAAGCTAAAGTATACAGGACAGTAGCAGCAGTAAAAACTAAACCCTGGTGATGCATTTAGTGTTACATCATTAACATGTTGTGTATCCTCTGAAATTGAAGGCTTTGGTTGAGAAA